ACACAACAGGTTCAATGCAGCATGATCTTTGGATGTTATCTCATCTTGGTGTTCTCATAATGTTACCTTAGCTTGGAGCAGAGGCCTAAGGGAATCATATTTGGGTAGAGAGTAGGGGAAATAAGCAGGTCAGGAAGAGGGGTGAAGCTAAGGTCATTGACAAGGAAGAAAGACTCAAGGAGTGACCAGAAGACAGCCTAAGGCATTGTCAGATGATGGTAGAGTCAGCATTATGAAGGGTTGTAGGGGCTGAAAATGGAAGGAGATACTGACAAATGCACTTTAGTTAACAGATCCTGTTGGACTTAGTTTTTAAACAAGGTAAAATGGCAGATAATGTTAAAATGCATGTCTAAATACCTCAATGATAAATATGAAATTAGAAAGAAAAGAACTTAATCAGAAAGTAAATTGTCCTACCTTATAATGAGCACTCTGCTAAGTAAAATATACGGAAACTCCTTATGCTGAAGAATTCAAGCGTCAGTAAGTATTTATTTGATTTCCCAATTAGACAAGTCTTGGGTGCTACTAGTGTTGTGACAGGACACATAACTGGGAACCACAAGGAACATAAGGACCTATGAGATGCTGAGAGCAAGGAAGAAGCCAGCAAGACCATCAGGATCAAATACATGCTGGCATTCTTGGCTTTTGTATATGGATATCAGATGATGAAAGAAAAAAGATAAAGTACAGTAAGGTCAGAATTCACCTAAGACAAGAAAATGAGAGAGGAATTGTTCAAGCAGAGAAGATTTAAGAATGATCCAAGGAGCAAGCCTCTTCATTCAGCTTCTTAGACATTAACTCTGTTTCTGGAGAAACTGATTTTAAGATTAAAGAAAGACAAAAGTCATTATTTTACCTATCAATTAATGAATGGGCTTAAGAAAATAGTAAATAATCAAGAAGAAAAATTAGCTTTATAAAGAATTATGAAGGGCAAGTATATAACAATTATAGAACCAAAAATTTCATTGGAATGTAATGTAGTATCCAACTGAGTGTCAGCACTGTGGAATTTATTGCAAGGATCTCAGGTGTTTAGAAAGAAAAGGGATAATAAGGACTGAATTAAGGGTGGTTTGCTCAATGTATGAAGGTCATTGTTGGGAGTGACCATGATCACAGTAATGTTGTTCTCATTAATGATGAATATAGTTTGACATCGATGGCATTGGCAAAAGAACCATACTCCATGGAATAAATTCATTCCAGTGGTTTTTTGTTTTAATTTTTGTCCCTGGTCCTTGGCACAAAAATTCCAAAATCCCTGGATTTTCCTTGAGGTCTGGGGTACCCTTTGTTATTCACAGAAAGTCCCTTTAGAGTCTAAGTTTAGACCATGCCTGAGTATATACTTAAAAGATGATGAGAAGTATAAATGCCTTTAGGAGCAGGAGTTGGAACATGATTAGAGAGTTGGAAGTTTCAGCCTCACCAAGATAGTTGACCTACATCAAAAGCCTGAAGGGATATCATTCACCAGCTTCTAGGTTCATAAATATATTAATCTTGTGGGAATTGAGTGAGTTCCATGGAAAGGACTAAAAAGATTTCTGTCTCCCTTCCCTCTATACATGATTTTATGCACCTTCCACAATTTTTCTAAGTCTCATCCCAAAGGATGAATTCCTGAAGACTTGGTCCCTACCCTGAGATTCTTTGGGGGAAGTGGTGGGACCTTTAGGGTGTGAGACTTAAAGAGAAGAAGGGAAATTCCTGGAAGCATTCCTTGAGAGGGATATTGGGCCCCAACCTTTTATCTTGCTCTCACCGATTACTTTGACCATGAAATGGGGGCTTCTTCCATATGCAATCTCTTATTCTGTACTGCCTTAATACAAGCCCAAGTAAGAATGGATTGAAACTTCCAAAAGGTTGAGCCAAAATAAACCCTTCCTCCTTATAATAGCTCAAGTATTTTGTCATGATGACACAAGGTGACTAACACAGCATCTCTCCCATTAGACTATTATACAGTTGTAATAATAACAAACACGTCATCATGAGTGAACCCTTTCCTGAGTTCTGTGAATTGTGTCTGAACTCCGGAGGAAGTTTGTAGTCATCCAGGCAGAAGAATGAGTACACCAGGAACCACTTTACAGTGGGAAGATGAAGTAAGAAGAAAGGTAGCAGGTCTGAGCCTTAGCCTGTGGGGTCTATGCTAACTCTGAGAGTAGGGTCAGATTTAAATTGAATTACTAAAAACCAGTGGTTGTTAGAAAATTGTGGAATTGGCATAAAGCTGCCATATATGTGATGTTAAAATCATTCATACATATTGACTCAATCTTCCCAACAGCCTAGAACATAGACAATTGGTTTTCTCTCCTCTTTGCAAGGGCAATATTAAAGCACTGTTGAATTAATAACTTACTTCAAGTCATACACTCATTTACTAAATAACATATAGCTCTATGATTGATACACATCACTGATGAAAATGTTTCAGTGACACAATCGAAAACTCAAGACAACATGTGTAAAAGGGTATAGTAATTATTTGGTATAAAAATATTCTTAAACAGTGGCTTGAGGGTCATTTGGGTTAGGGACATTGTAGACTCTCATTGCACAAAGCATGCAACAGAGATGGCAGAAAGAAGCCCCTACTCTGGCATCCCTGGAAGCGAATACAGCATTGTAATAGCATGGCTAGAGTCATATCTTTGGAAAAGAGGTGTGTCATCACTGGGAGCCAAACAGACAGTAGGCTGCAGAACTAAAGGTCTCCTGAAGTAACTTGCTGACTTGTGTCCTGGGACATTTTGACAAAGAGGCAGATAACACTCAAACTATGTCTCTAAAGGTTGTACCATCCAACTTCTCAGAGTTACATCTATTGGGGCCCCTGAGTCTCTGAGCAAGAACCAGTAGTAATCTAAGTGTTTCCTGGAAGAGCAATAAACCCCAGGGTTCCCATGGAGCAGATAAGAGTCAAAATAAAAGAACGCAAAGACGTTATTACCTTGGACAACTGAGAGTTGTAAAGCTGCATTCAGATTTTCATTACAAAGATTATCAGGGTTTCATTATAGAGAACAGACTAGAAAAGTGTAGTACAAGTTCAGCAGGCAGTGCTAAGAAACCAAAGTTGGTACTCATTAAAAATGAGAACAAGGAGAAAAGCAGATAAATTCAAGAGAGGTGGAAGCAGTAGGATTTGGTGAACACTGGTTACAAGAGGAAGAACAATTTGATGTTTTTCTTTTCTCCAGTGGGAAGGTAATGATGCCTCTCACTTGGATGAGAGAGATCTATTGAGTGGAGACAGATGCTGAATCTCGTTTTGTAAACTTGAACTTTGTTAAAATAGAACCCCTGACTGATGAGATCTCTTAATAATCTTATAACTATCAATCAGAAACTCAGGAACAAGATGTAGACTCGAATGTGAACTTGGAATTTGTGTTTGCAACACAAAGCAAGCACATTCTAGGTGCAGGAGATGCCACGGTGGGCCAGAAAGCAAGCCCCCTTCACCCTTGAAGTGTACGTTAGAGTGGAGAGACACAGACAACAGAAAAGCATGTAAATGAGAGCCTGCTTTTCCAGGATAAGGAAGTTCTGAAAGCGAAGTGAAGTCATTGCATTCGAGGAGGAACCTACATTGGGTTCAGGGGTCACCAAAGCATCACTAATGACAGCTTCATAGCATAGCCATCAACACGCACTTCCCTGCTGCGGAAGGTTGGAAGAGCAGTGCCTGGGAGAGAAGAGAATGGGAAGATGAGCACATGGGGAGGCAGACACGGACAGCAGCCCATGCTCTTGCTGTGTGAACCTGGTCAAATTAAACTTATGAAGCATAATTTCTGATTTAGAAAATTAACAGAGTTTCAAAATCATATATTTAAAGGACTACTGAAAATAATTTGAAATCACTAAAAGTTTATACAGAGAAAACTCTTTGAGCTGATAAGGAGGATCTTAGGTACCTAGAACTGCAGCAAACAGTTCTTATAGCTCAAGACCTTCTATCATTGCTCTATGGAAGTGTGGCCTGCGATGCTTAATCTTTATTGTCAACTTAGAATTTAGGATCACCATGGAAGCACACCCCTGGATATGTCTAACTGTTTAACAGAAGAGGGATGACCCACCCTGAATACGGGTGACGTCATTACATGGTCTAGGGTCCTCAGCAAGAATGATTAGAAGGTGAGCTGAGACCCAGCATCCTCTTTCTTGCTTCATTATAGCATGTGCAGTGTGAACAGTCACCTCAAGTTCCCTTCCCCATCATGGTGGACTGTAGCCACAAACTGTGAGCCAAATGTACCCTTTCTTCCTTAACTGACTTTTTCAGGTATTTTTCAAAGCAACAAAAATGTAACTAATACAGTCTCTTAAATTTTCTAGTTTGTTGATTCTTCCATCTGTTTCTCATTTATTTGAAAAATTTTAACCTTAAACAAAAGCAAACAAACATGAAAGTTTGGGTTCCTGACAGTAACTTGCCTCTAGCTACATGCCTAGCCCCTCCCCTCTCCTGTTTCTCCACACCAAATGGAGTCTACTACTGTAAAATAAATTTCCATAGGTATGTTTCCTTTGCATACAGCCTTTATTAATTACCTGCACACCAACATCAAAAGATATATTTGCTAATGTGGAACTTATAGCCAAGATACTATGCTTTACCTACTGTTTGAAAATGGTTTGGCTCATCAACCACACTTTGCATAATGGCTTCACTCACATTACTGAAGCAGGCTTATATCCCCAAAAGGGCACTACTGAACCCCAGTTGCAACAATTACCCTTGGGGAGAATGCTGGGGAAAGTAAGCAAGAGACCAATGAAGATTGGTAGGAAAGATTTTATTTTGAATCACAGCAGGGGGGCTGGCTAGGGGGGACAATTTGAAACTTCACATAAAATTTCATCATCTCAGAGTCCAGAACACGAAAGACAGGAAGAGATGAGATGAATAGCAGGCAGGAGCAGGTCCTCTGAGCATGGTCTCCTCTTTTACTGCTGGTCGGCAATCTTCGAGACACAGGTCAGCAGCAGCCCCCAGACTGCTGGCTACTGCCACTGCTGCCACAGCATCCACTGCTGCCACCACTGCTGCCACAGCAGCCACTGCTGCCACCACTGCTGCCACAGCATCCACTGCTGCCACCACTGCTGCCACAGCATCCACTGCTGCCGCCACTGCTGCAGCATCCAGAGCTGTGACGATGGCGACGGAGAGATCTGCGGGGCCTGTGGTGGCTCAGGCAGCAGCCACCACCCCCAGAGCTGCAGCAGCCCCCAGAACTGGAGCCACAGCCTCCCCCAGAGCTGGAGCCACAGCAGCCCCCAGAACCCAGGCTACAGCAGGAAGACACAGGGGGGCACTTGGGAGGACACTTGGGGGGACACTTTGGTGTCTGGCACTTGGGAGGGCATTTGGGGGCACACTTGGGAGGGGGCTGGCACTGCTGTTGGCTTTGCTGGCAGGACATTTTTTAGAGGATGTCTGTAAACCTAAAGAGAAATATAAAAGCCATCAGCACAGGTGTCAAGTAGATATAACCATCCCCTTCCCTTAGATGCCGATTCCAATACAAGCTATTCCATGAACAAGGTCTATAACTCTAATTGGGGAACTGACACAAAGTGAAATTTGGCTCAGAAAAAGCTCTCTCATATTTCCTTTCCACCAGTGAGTGGTTCCGACCATCTTCTGACATAGTCCTTAATACATATTCCATATAGGATCCCTAGGCTCTGAGACTGAGCTCCTTGGCACTCAGGAATCTCGCTGTGATGGACTTCTCTTTCTTACATGTCAGTGAGACCCTGTTCTTCTCCAAGAACATCTCCTTGAAGAGGATTGGAGGGGAAGATGTTAAAGACCCAGACACCAGACACCCAACTCTCACAACTCTCCTGGTTTGTTGCGCTCTTCCGTTGCCATTTTCCTGCTTGCTTTCCTGTCCCAAACTGAAACAGTTACAGCCCCAGTGCTTGTTTCTCCAGGTATCAGTCAGACCAAGAGAGGTCAGGAGATGTCCCAGGCCTAGGTCAGGATGAGACTGAAGAACCAACCCTTCACCCTGATCCCCCACACACACCAGGAGGAGGTCTCCTTAAGTTCCCAGTCTTCTTCTATCCTCCTCCCCTCCAGTTAGTTCTGCCCCCTTCCCTCCCCAGCCTTCCTTGTTAAGCACTCACCTGTTCAGCTGAAGGAGCACGTTCTGCACCTGGTAAGGCTGAGGACTGGCGAGCCTGGCATCGGAGCCCTTTTATGCTAGGCCCTCGATCTTCCTAGAGGTGAGGCACAGCCTGTGTATGCAGAGCAGCCACTTTCACAGGTTGGAATGAGGATGACCCTTCTCGTACTCCCTACTCTGGAACTCTAGGATCTCTCTGTGAGCAGTTCAAGAGGAATCTTCTGAGTTGGAGACTCTTCAGGTATCTGCTCACCAAGTCTATGCAGGCCAGCCATTCCACTTGCAAGCATTCATTCACTTACTAATTCAGTAAATAGGGAATATCTCTATTACTTAGGCCCATCATTTTGCAAGATATTGATGACAAAAAGATGACATGATTGCCATGAGGAACTCACAGTCTTAGATCATGAATATACAAGCAATGGTTCACAAGTAAGTGTGTCATGTGATCTAGATCTTTCGTTTGCCTCCTTACACCTCTACCTATCGGTGGTTTCACAGTCTTTCTAACCATTTGAAAGTAGGATATATTTTAGCCACCCGTGGATTCCACATATATCGTATAGTGCTAGACATAGCAAACTTAGGAAGAGGATTAGCTATCAAGAAAGAGGAAGGCTGATGTTCACGCACCACTGAGACAGAGACTCAGCTAATAGCTCAGCAAACTTTGGGGTTCAGAATCCATTGAGGCAAGACAGAATTCCAGAAAGGTGGAGTGTTGCCTCTACTAATACCAGATAGTAATTCTTGAGATTAATTACCTGAATGCATAACACTCTAGGAATGAGACTGGGTTGGCAACGTCGGAATCCAAAGGAATCCATGAGATGTAGAGGCTAAAGCTCAAAGAGCCATGGACCTGGTTTCACAGAGCACAGGGAAGCTGTCATAAGGAGGGGCTAGGAAAGAAGCAAATATCCATCTTTTGCTTCAGGAGTGAGCTGAAACTTCTTAAGAATTAGCACTGTTGCGTTAGTGAGACTCTCCCAGGAACCCAGTGAACCCGGCTAAGACTCCAAGCAGTAGTGAAGAGGGTCCTTGAACTGGCCTTCCCCCGTAATCAGATCAATGACTACCCTAATTGTCATCATAGAACCTTCATCCAGTAACTGGTGGAAGCAGATGCAGAGATCCACAGCTAAGCACGGAGTAGAGCTCCTGGAGTCCAGTTGAAGAGAGGGAGGAGGGATTCTATGAGCAAAGAGGTCAAGATCATGATGGGGAAACCCACAGAGACAGCTGACCTGAGCTAGTTGGAGCTCACTGACTCTGGACTGACAGTTGGGGAACCTGCATGGGATCAAACTAGGCCCTCTGAATGTGTGTGACAGTTGTGTGGCTTGGGTAGTATGTGGGATCACTGGCAGTGGGACCAGGATTTATCCCTAGTGTATGAACTTGCTTTTTGGAGCCCACTCCCTATGTAGAGATGCCTTGCTCAGCCTAGATATGGGGGAGGATCTTAGTCCTGCCTCAACCTGATGAGCCAGACTTTGTTGACTCCCCCCATGGGAGACCTTACTCTCTCTCAGGAGTGGATGAGGGGGGGGTGAGGTGGGGGGAAGATAAGGGTGAGCGGGAGGAATGGAGGGAGGGGGAACTGAGGTTGGTATGTAGAATGGAAAAAGAACTTTTAAAGAAAAAAAAAAGAAAAGAAGGAAATGATGACTTTCTGTTAACCCTGTGAAATATAATAATGACCACCTTAGCAAAACACAATAGTGATGTTGATGTTAATGTTATGGGGATAATCAACTGTTTTCTAATAGGATTTAGGCCCCTGCTCCATGGGAAAAAAACTCGAGCTTTGTACTACAAATTTGGCCAAGAACCTGTAGCCCCAGGAGTGAACTTATTATTGTGTTGTTGCTTTGCTAAAATGAAATAGAATCAAATTGCTTTCCAAATGCATATCTGTATACCCATAGGTTAGTATAGCTCTCAGTTATCAGATAAGTGTCTTTGTGTAGTGGACAGCAGTTAATAAAAAGGTTAGCAACTGGAGAGAGTGAAGAGAACACATGTTTGTGGAGTGTTCAACCATAAATGGGACATCTATATCACATCTTGCCCTGCAAGGCTCAGGGAACATGCAGAAGAGGGGATGAAAACTGGTAAGAGTCGGAGTTTGTGGAGGACTGCTTCAAGACAGTGTCTTCTGGACATGATAGGGCCATTACACTAACAAGCTCCCGGCAACTGTAGTTACCTGCATATGGCAAATACAAGATCAAGTTGGTTAACATTCCAGCATAGGTGGAGAAAGGGCATGTAATTCCCACTCCTATCTGTGGGACTATTGACAGCTGGTGGCTACTAGGGGAGGTGGCTTGGTAGGTTGACCAGGATCCTGTGAATAACCCCATCCCCATGTGCACTTGGGAATTAATTGGATTCAGTAAACTAATAAAACATGAAGTTGGGACGGGGATGTGGGGTTTATCTAGAAGAAGTACGAGGAAGTAATGGAGGTGGATATGATCAGAATACATTATGTGGACGTATGGAATTCTCACAGAATAAATAAAAATTGTTTTAAAGGGAAGAGCTGAATGAAAAGAAGAGAAGGTGTACTGGTTTACTAGTTTAAAGGGACAGTTTTCAGAATACTAGTTTAAAGGGACAGTTTTCTAGCTAGCAGGGAGGACCCGAGGAAGGATGCACGGATTGCCCAACGAAGGAGAAATAGATGAGATCTACATGAGTAGATCACCCCCTCATTGGGGGTGAGGGGAGTAATGGAAGGCAAGGGATGGGGGATGAGAACATAGGGGGACGGGAGGTTTGAGCTGAAACAGTGACAGAATGGGAGAGCAGGGAAAGAGATACCATGATAAATGAAGACATCATGTGAATAGGAAGAAACAGAGCCCTAGGGAAGTTCCCAGTTTTGGAATAAAGAAAACTTAATTGTCATTGCTGCTTCCCCCAAGACAAGCTGTGCAAATGTAAGTCACACATTTTCCTAAGATGAAGTTTTGTCGTTTTTCCAAAAAACGTGGTTATAATTCTGTTCATCTGCAAAAACAGCATGGCACTGTCGATAAAGCTCTGAGTGTAGGTTCCCAAGTGTGACTGGGACTCCAAGGTAGCAGCTGCTTCCACAGTTACTAAGAGCTACTACTCTGCAGCTGATTGTTATCATTTCCCATACTTTGGTATTTAAATAAGTACTATTCTGCCCAGCAAGACTCCCTTACCTCAGAGGGAAACTGATGTGAATAAGAGTGTTGTTTTGTCCTACTTTTCGTGGTGCTTTCAATTAAGACCATTGGCTGATATTTATGATGATAGCAAAAGAATGGGAGTGAGGCATGACTCATTCTAAAGCATCTGTTACAGTATCACATTAGATGTTTGCAGTATTGGGAGATACTGGAAAACACCCTTATCTTCAAAGATGCATCTACAAAACTTTCCATCTAGAAGTCCAAACAAGTACTTAACACAAGTCAGAAAGTAATAATTACAGAGAAGGTTGTTCTTGAAACCAAGGTGTGACTGTCTGTAGATAAAGACTGCACGGTGAAAATGTACAAAGATGTATGCAGAAATATGAATATCTAAGTGTGTAAAAAAGGGGCAAATAAGATGGCAAAAGTTTCTGCATAGTTCAAAGAGCAATTATACCAAATAGTGAAGAGATTATGATATAAAGTGGTATGACGGAGACATATATATATATATATATATATATATTTGTGACCTTAACATGAAACAAATGGACCACACCTGAGTTTCGAATTGAATGAGTGATTCTATGGGTTGTATGAATTTAGAGAAGAAAATTATTCTTATGGGCTTTAAAAAAAACATGTTTTACACTTATAACTAATAGAAATTATGATGGGATTGATATTTATGGTGGTTGCATGTTTTAATTTTAATTTTAAAACACTGGATTCAATCTCTAACACTGCATAAAACCTGTCGTGGGAGCACCTGCCTGCAATCGAAGCACTCAGGAGCTGGAAGCAGGAAGATCATCTGTAGATCAAGTTCACAGTCATCTTATACTGCATGAGACTCTGTCAAAAAATGATTTTAAAATACAATTATGGGGCTGGAGAGATGGCTCCGCAGTTAAGAGTGCTTGCTGCTCTGCCAGAAACCTGTAGTTGAGTTCTCAGCTCCCACATGGAGTAAATCACAACTGGCTATAAGTCCAGCTCCAAGGGACTTGATGCCTCTTGTTTCTGAGGCTCCTGCACTCATATGCACATACCTACCCCTAACACACAAACACATAATTAACAAAAAAATTAAAATACAATTATGACAGAACTTCTCATCGTAAC